ATGGAAATTGAAAAATGTTTAGAAGTGACAAATTTTTATAATACTATTATATATATCTCACAAAAACCTAAACTCAAGGGTATTCTCACCAGTAGTGCTCTGTAAAAGACTGTATATCAAAACTGAAAAGCAAGGTAAAACAGGAATTTGAACTCAAATATTAGCTTTAAAAACATGTATTAGAAAAGAAAAAGATTAATGAGTGAAGTATTCTCTTCAAGTAGTTAGGGGGGAAACTACAGTAAATCCCAAGAAATAGAAGAAAGAAAATAGTAAGAGAAAAATTAGGGAAAAGAAAATACAGAAAACAATCAACTAAACCAAATGTTATTTCTTTCAAAGCACTAATAAGAAAGAAAAACCTGTATAGGACTGATCAAAAGAAGAAAGAAAAGGGATAAGTAAACAATATTTAAAACGAAAAATTCTGTGCCAGTATATTTGAAAGCTTAAAATAAAATGTTTTCCAGAAAGGCCAACAATATATATTCTGTGACAATTTTAAAGAAAAAGGAGAAGAAAAAGGAATCAGAGAAGAGGCACTCACCTTATGAGATTTAAAGATTACTGTAAATTTATAGTAATCCAGGCAGGGTTGTGGTGTAGCAGTCAAGGGCGATGCTCTGTGAGACGAACTGACATGGGAAGGTCCCAGGTTTGTGTCCAGGGACCTCCCTGAGTATACCAGGCGCTCCTGTTCTGAGACTAGCTGAGACTAGGGTGGGGTGTGGTGTTAAGACGCTGCTGGGGGGGGGGTGGTACAGTCTCTGTCTGACCTTCTCTCTGTCTGTCTCATGGAAGGAAGAAAATTAATGAAGACAACATGGTAGGGACATAAGTCTAGGCAAATCAGTCAGTGAATCAGAATACAGATCTCAGGACAAGATGCAAATATAAATGAAAATGTTATGACTAACATAAATTCAGGGAAGGATGGGATGTTCATTAAGTGGGACTAGGGAAATTGGCCAGCCTTATAAATAAAAGATGAAAATAATTTCTATCCCACTGCATACCAACAATAAATTCTAAATAATTAAAAACCAAATGCGAAAAGAAAAATTTGATAACTTTTAAGAGAAAAAAATAGGAAAATATCTCCATGAATTTGGTGTAGGAAAGAATTTGTAAACAAGAAAGAACAAGCAAAATCACAGAAGAAAAAACTTATTTTGACTCAGTACATTGTCCTACAAAGGATTGGCATTGTACAAGTCAATTAGAAAGGTAATGGGAAAGTAGGCAGGAGATAAAAATAGGCAATTTACAGAAGTGAGGTTAAGAATGAGTTCAGGGCCCAGGTGAGGGTGTGGCCACTAAATGGGATGCTCTGTGATGCTCACCCACCTGGGAAGGTTCTGGGTGTTGTCCAGAGACCTTCCCGAGTATTCTTGGCCTGCATGTGCCTATGCCCTGGGGCTAGCCAAAGCCAGGCGTGGATGGCAACATCAAGACCCTATTGGGGGTACTTGTCTCTGTCTTGTTCATGGAAGAGATAAATCAAACTTAAAGAAAAAGAAAAAAGATGTATTCTAGAGGAGAAACAGAGAAAAAGCAATTTCAACCTTACCTAGTAAGAGGAAAGAAAAACTAAAACTACATTTAGACTGCATTTCACACTCATCTTTATGACGTTACAAAGTGTTGGTAAGGATCTGGAGCAGTGAGTCAAGAGTGTAAATTTTTCCCACTACTTTGGTAAATAATTTAGCGGTATCTAAGGTAGTGGAAGGTTACTCAATGAGCAATAAATGCAATTTCACTTATGTACGTGTTTGTGTGTACGTGTGTGTGTGTGTGTGTAAATCTTATGTATTCCTTTAGGTAACACTTACCCAGGGACACGAGGACCACCTTTGGTTAGAATGGCAAAGAAATCACGGTGACAGTCTAAATAGCCCTCAGCAGGAGTCTAGATGTATAAATGTTGTACTCGTCATACATGGAAAAGCTTCATGTACCCCAGATGAATGACCAGATGTATCTGCCTATTCCGTGTCCTTTCGTCTTGGTTTAACATCATGGTAGACGTTCACCAGGTACTTTGTTTCCTCTCAGTGGTGATCTGGGGACACAGCAGGACTGGCCTTCTTCTTCCCTTTGAAGTTAAGTTAGGCCATGTGACTTGCCTCAGTCAGCGCAAGGTGAGTAGCGGGACGTGTGTTCCTCTGAGGGAAGAATTGTAAGAACCAGTGCCCAGTTCACTGTCTTCCTGCTGCTGTGGTTGAGGAAGTGCATGTCAGCATGAAGCCCCCTCCTCTGGGAGCACGGAGTGATCACAGTGAGCAGACCACCTGGTTGATCACCATTTAAGACCCAGGGCGAGGGAAGAAGAGCGTGTGCCCCGTTAAGCCCCTGAGCAAGTGGGGGCCTGTTACCACAGCCTGGCCTACCTACCGCATCATTGCACGTCTTAATTCGTCACGCGTCTTCCTCAAGTTCTCTCGTCCCAGAATATTGCCCCTATTTCATGAGGCAGAAGTACCGTGACTTACCCTTTCAATGTATCCTTCAGCTCTGTTTCTTTCCAGATGTAGGGAGCCTCTCTAACAGCCCCCCCCCCTTTTTTTGGAGTGGTTTTGTTTTTTGTTTTTTTGTTTTTTGTTTTTTGTTTTTTGTGTTTTTTTTGCTATAGGGTGTGTGCTCACCCAAAAGACACAGACAGAGAGATAGAAAGTGAGAAATCACCCCCTGCGGGGCGGGGGTGTGTGTGGCCACGCCGCAATCCCTTCTCCTCCATTCTCCCCTCAGGATCTTGGGCATGCATGCACACACACTCGGCATGAGTTTAAGCCACCAGGTCCGTCCGGGACTCAAACCACGGTCGACTACATGGGGATCCAATGACATAGCCATTATGCCAACTGCTGGTCCTTGACAGCCCCTTTGTTTGTGAAAACTGGCCTTGCAGGTATTCTCCAGTTGTTGCTTATTGCTTTGGAGGTAAGTTTCCCAGTCAGGGGTGCACCAGGAAATCCATGCCCTCCGTCCCTCTGGCCCTCCCTGCCTTCCTCGTCTGTGGCTGGCTGTCCTCATGTGCAGAGAGCAAAGCAGCTAGTTCAGGTCAGTGAGGTGAGGGCTGAAGTACAGGCTTGTCCAACTTTAGAAAATAAATGCGTTGCTTAGAAGATACGTATCATTGTAAAGTTCGCAGTGTTTTAGCCTGGTCATGGCTGCTCACCTCTTTCTTTTAAAGAGTATAATACTCAAAAGTATAGTAGTTTATATTTCTAATGAGAAATTTTCTTTTTTCCCCCCAATCTACTTTTAAATTATCCAAAGTAAGCTAAACGTCTTGCATGTAACTGTTATATATAGTTAGGATTAATTGTAGATTTTGGTTAAAAATGTCTGATGAAAATTGTAGATTTTGGTTAAATGTCTTTTTTTATTTTTATTTTTTTTAACATATAGAGGTTTGTGCCTTAGGGTGCGTGCATTTGCCAGGTAGAGAGAGAGAGACAGACAGGCTGTGAGATGGAAAGTGAGAAATCACCCCCAAGGGGGATGGTCACACTGCAGTTCCTTCTCCGTTCTCCTCTCGGGATCTTGGGTGCGCGTGCGCCCAGTGTATTTCCAAGCCACTGGGTCCAGGACTTAAACTGTGGTCAGCTGTGTGAGAATCCAGCAACGGAATTACTATGCTATCTACTGACTCCGGTTAAATATCTTTTTTTTTTTTTTTTGGAGAGGTTTTCGCTATAGGGCGCGGGCGCTCGCCAGACAGACAGAGATAGAGAGACAGAAAGCGAGAAATCACCCCCTCAGGGAGGATGGTCACGCCGCAATCCCTTCTCCTCCATTCTCCTCTCGGGATCTTGGGCACGCATGCACATGTGCCCGGCGTGAGTTCTAAGCCACCGGGTCCAGAATGCGAACCGCAGTTGACTACGTGGGAGTCCAGCGACATAGCCATTACACTAACTGCTGGTTCCCCCGGTTAAATATCTTAAATGCACAGAAAAGGTTCCAGGGGATTTAAAAGGCTCTCACCTTCTGTCATTCTCTTCTGAATGTTTAGAGAATTTGCATCATATTGGACAGCCATGATTCCCATCATATCGGGAAGCTCTTGACTTTCATAAATACGCAGGCTTATCTGGACTTGAAATATAGAGAGAGTCAGAATGAGACAATGTTCGTTTTTCAAGATACAGCAGTTCATGAACACAAGAAAGTGCATATATGTAACAATGCCCCAAATAGTAAACAAACAAAACAAGAAGTGGAATCATAGATGAGGGCAACTGTATGTCCTGATACGGAGTTGGTACCTTGTCCTCCATCATTTCACTGCTTCATGAATTCTAAAATTCTGAAAAAAGAAAAAATACGTGTGTGTGTGTATACATATATACGTATATATATATACATATATACATACACATATATGTGTATATATGATTGTTATGCTATTATTATTATTATTATTATGTGAGTAAAAGAAACAGCATCCCCAACCAGTCTTCTGCTCCACCCCAGCCCCAGCTCTGGATGGATCATGGGCACACATGTGCCTGATGTACTCAGGGAGTTCTCTGGACACAAACCCAGAACCTTCCCACGTGGGTCAGCCTCGCCAGGCACCCCATTGGACTGCTTTGTCACCATCTGGCACGCAGCATTATGTTTCGAGATGCATCCATTGATAGACAGCTGTAGCTCATTAATCTCAGTCACTGTGTAGTTTCTCACTGTAGTAATAGTCCATAAGGTATTTATCCATTCTATATTTTATGGGTTATTGTGTTTCTGTACAATAAAATATTTCAGGGTTAATTGCTGCGTGTGGTTTGATTTCTTTCCCACTTTAGGTTCCAATTTTTTTTAAAGTTATCTGGCATGGCAAATGTATCCCTATGTTAAGATAACCAAGATGTTCTAACTTCCATTTTATTGATGATTTGAGATAGTAATTAATTGATTTTGTTCTGAGCACACTATCGGGATGTATTTGGCTTCTCTTATCCTAATGCCAAATCTTGTGTTTGGATTCACAGTTCCCATGGAGAATGTTGCAACAATTGCTGATTGTGCCAGTGTGATTGAAGGCGTCAGTCGGAGCCGAAATGCCTTGTTGAATGGGGACACGAAGAATTACGACTGGGATTCTGGCTATACGTGCCACCAGCTAGGGAGCGGTGCAATTGTTGTTCAGCTGGCACAGCCGTACATGATCGGGTCAATACGGTGAGATGCCTTCTCATTCACTAGTTCTGAAACCAAAGATACATATGCAATTGTATTTTAGTAAAATGATGACCCTAATAACCTCAAGGAAGAAACTCTACTGTCCTTTCCTATAAATAGGGAGGAAGAAGGGTGCAAGTGGGAGATCGTGAGATACAGAATATTTGCTTGGATTTTCTGGTGGGGTGGGGAGATTTACTGAGATTTTGAGTAATTACCTAGAGAAACTAGGTAAGGGGCCTCTCCCTGGGTATGGATTACCTCCTTCTCAAGTCTCAGTTTGTTTTGAGTAGGGCCTTACAGATTGTCTTACAGGGCATTGTCAAGAGAGCTTACATACAATGAGAAATCATTTTTAACTTTAATGAATGACTTTCCATAATGAACCAAACAGATCTAAATAAGAGATTTGTTTCTGAAAGATCTTAGTGATCTTTGTGTCTGGGTTTTGTGTTGTTCCTTTTTGTTTTGTTTTGAGAAGAGAACTTTCATTGATGCATAGGGTTATGTAATTTTTAAATGTGAGATTGGTGACATCCCCCAGAGGGTATATTTTTTGTTCAAGGGAGCCCCATGGGTCATGAGTAAGTTCCTTTTTCTATTTTTAAGTTTCTAAGAAGGCCTGAAGGACTAATGAAAATAATTTTTAAAATAATAATAATAATAATAATAAATGTACACACAAATACAATCAGCCCTTCATTTCCTCGGGCTCCCCATCATTAATTTAACCGACTGTGGATCACAAATATACGGGGGCGGTTGGAGGGGGAGAAGTAATAATACATACAACAATAAAAATAGTATAGATATGAAGACGGTCTAATATACGACCTGTTTACATAGTACATTGTACGAGGTATTGTAAGTAATCTGGAGTTGATGTAAAGTGTCTAAGAGACTATGTGCAGGTTATATGCAAGTACTCTGCCATTTTACTTGAGGGACTTGAACATCCGTGGATTTGGGTATCTGCTGGAGGTCCTGGCAGAAACAGGGATGACCGTATCTGTGTGTTTTGCCCTGCTCGGGCTGGAGGGAGTCGCAGCATGTAACTGCCTTCCCCTCATCACCTTCACCACGTTCGCTTACTTTCCTGATCTCACTTTGCAGTCTGTGTAAAGAGAGAAGTAGCTCCCAAAGTAAGGTGGTTGTGTTCTAACAGGCGAAGGTTACTGACGTTTAGGCCAGTAACCACCTAGGATGCGCTGGCCAGCTCCCCTGGACACGCTGAGGAGCTGACTCTGGATTTCTTGGCGAATTCACACCGTGGATATCTTCATTAAAATTTTTAACCCCTTCTTGTAAAGGGCCACATCACGAACTGACTGCCATAAACCACAGTCACAGATAGAGAAGCCTAGAGCTCCTGCCACTCGCCAGACCAGCCCGCTTTGTGCTTAGGAAGATGGAAGAGACAGGCCATGGTTTGGATAAACTGCCAGAGCAGGAAAACTTCTCCCAAGTAGCTAACGCCCCCTCCTTCGTTTTTCTCAGCTAAATGCATTAATTACAGTACTCATAAACCATCCGTTTAAGAAGTTACTCTGGAATTTTTGTCATAGATGATGCGAAGCTTATCCGTAAATTTCCCATTACAATCTATCCTACTTCACTTTAAAAATCTGGAAAACAGTCGTCCTTCTCTTGTCATCTGGCGCTCCTTCTAGTTCCCACAATTTCTGGAAGATTACCAATCGTGTCCCTGAGATTACATCTGCAATTTCTTTCAGCAGGCTTGGGGTGTAACTCATCTGAGCCAGAAGCCTCGAAATCATTTAAATTGACTACTCTCTTTCTTTCACTTCACCTATTTGGGACTTCAATTTTCTCTTTATTATGTTTGTTCTGCCATTTCTAATTTGAAGGCCAGTCCTCTTGCCAGTGAAGATTGAAGCGAACGGGCAGCTCAGCTCTGCCCACTGTCTTCCTTCTATTTGCATACCTGGCACCCACACCCCGCTTCCCACCACCACCACGTCTGCAGTGCTCCACGTGCACGTCAGACCAAGACCTCGAGAATGGAATGCACTCCCCTCCCTCCAACACGCAAGTCACCACATCTCGTGATCCCCATTCAGTGGTTCCACGCCTTCATCCTTGGCGTTGAACGTGGGACTCTTCTGTGTTCCCTCCCACTCTTTCCCAGTCCGTTGTAAGTTCTGTCAGTACCCCTCCTAACACCTCTCAATCCTTCCCCTCTCCTCCACCCCACTGCCATCACCATGGCTGCAGCTTTCTTGTTTTACTTCTTTACCCGGCCTTCCAGGCTCCCATCCGGACTCCCTCCTCACCCCCAGCCATCCCCACACTGTTACCACAGATCTGACCCAGCATACTGCCCCTCCCTAAAAGGATTCGCGGCCACTATTTGCCTTTAGGAAAAAGTTCAGATGAGGCTCTTAAGAATGATCTCTGGGGCCAGCAGGTAGCATGTGGTTAAGGCACTGGACTCCCACATGGTCCACTGCAGTACGAGTCCCAGACCCAGAGGCTTGAAACTCATACCTGGTGTGTGTGTGCCTGTGTGTGTGTGTATGTGTGTGTGTACATGTGCCCAAAATCCCAAGAGGAGAAGGGATTACAGTATGGCTATCCCTCCGGAGGGTGATTTTTTACTTTTTATCTCTCTCTCCCCCTCACTCTCTCTTGCTCTCTCTTTCTCTCTCGGTCTCTCCAGGAAGCACATGTGCCCTATATCAAAAATCTCTCTTTAAAAAAAAAAGATTTCCGCTTGCCTCTGTGGAGCCTTGTCTCCTGCACGTCCATGCTTCCTAGGCCATCCCACCCTGCAGGTACTCTGCCAGCCTATCCAGCTGTTTGGGGTTTTACACCTGGATCCTGCCCTCTCACACCCTGTCCTCGGCTCTTTGAACATGCTCTTCTTATCGCTTACATCTCTCACTGCTTCTCATGACCTTTACTCATTTTTTTTAAGGCTGTTGCTATCGGGCGTGTATGTTCACTGCAGAGACAGAGCAAGGGAAAGTGAGAAATCACCCCTGAGGCAATGACCACATCACAATCTCTTCTCCTCTGTTCTCCTTCTGGGATCTGAGCATACACGCAAATGCACCTAGCATTTTCAAACTGTGGTTGACCATGTGGGAGTCCTGCTCCTTAACCACTATGCCACCTGCTGGCCTCTGTCATTACTCACTTTTTACCTGGCTTTTTCTTACTCCTGCTTCAAGATTTCATGCTTTTGGGGTTACTTCTTTACCCTCCCATCATCTCCTGGGCTTACTGAGACATCCCTCATCAGTGGTCCCGTGTATTTTGTATGTAATACTGACAGAGCGTTTGTATTCCAGTAGTTTGCTTGCTGTCTCTTCCCAGCCTCACCTGATATATGTAAAGCCTGTGGCAACTCAGAATAAGCTTCTCTGGGTAGATTTTTTTTTTCTTTTAAATTCACCGAAAGGCATGTGTACTTCTCGGAGAGAGAAAACAGAGAGGGATGGCGAGAAAGCACCCTTCATGGAGAATGGTCCTGCTGCAATTTCTTCTCCTCCATGTCTCCGTCCTTTAGGGATTTTGAGCATGAATATACACGTGCGCAGTGTGGCTTTCAAGCAGCAGGATTTGGGACTCGATCCACACAGTTGATCATGTGAGACCCGGCTGCTTTTACCACCACATCACGGGCTGGCCCTCTTTGGACAAACTGAATGTGCCAGTGAGGTAGTCCGTTAAGACGGAAGGGGAAATTACAGAATTACGTTATCTTACAGTAGGAAATCTAGAATGCTAAATCCAATAGGAACCTCATGAGGTCGTTGCCAAGGTGACAGCTCAGAGACAAACAGGCTCTTCATGAGGCCGGGCCACCATGGCCTCCCCAGGAATCAGAGCTGTTAAATCTGACTCCAGAAAAAGGTGTCACTGGGGCTTAAGGCGAGAGCAAACAATGCCCATTTGGTTTTCTTTAAATGGGGAATGAAAATGGTTCCCCCAAACAATTTTTCTTTTCCTGACTCAGGGGAGATGATGAGCGTGAACACGACCAAAGGCGGAATTGTGTGTCTCACCACAGGGTGAAGCCGCCGGCTTCCTTAAGCCCAGCTATTGTTTTTTCAGTTAGAAAATCTATGCGGTTGAAGCCCTGTGTAACTGGCTGAGCGTTCAGAGAGACACGTCTCTGTGAAACTAACATTATGTTGTCAGGAACTGCATTTGCCTCTTCTGTGACATTATTAAGAGGAAAGGGAGGAAGATTTCTTAGCCACAGTGTCTGTGGATGATGCGGGATATCTTGTTGGACTGTGGTTAGCAACAGCTCATGTGCTCAGATAGACATTTATTGATAGGAAACTAGATCAGTGGCACCTCTTCCTAGGGATGGGTAATTGACCCATGACAGGTTGATTAATCAGTGACATTTGACCCCCAGCTTCTATTGCTGGTGATGACTAACTTGCTTTCCGAGTCACTGCGTCTGTGGAAGCCCAGTGATTGTGCATCAGCACCTAGAGAGCGCATCGAAGAGCCCAGAGCCCAGTGACTTACACCTCCCCCTGTGGGTGGGAGGGGAGCTGGACATCCTGCAAGCTCTTTTCTCCTTCTCAGGTACGGCCCAATCACATGCTATACTGGCTTTAAAATTCAGTTTTTTTTGTAGCAAAGTCTCAAAGAAATTATCTTGGCCACTGCTTTCTTTATTCCTAAGAGAGCACAAAATTGTCCCTCTTTTTTTGGCAGTATTTATCCAAAGAAGCCATTTCTGTTTCCTGGGAGTTTACCCTATAGCAGCTGCATGGGTGAGCAGAGCTTGGACTTTACCGCAGTCCCCGGGGAGCCTAACCATGGTCTCCAGGGAGTCCAACCATGGTCTCCTGGGAGCCTAACCATGGTTTCCAGGAAGTTCAACCATGGTCTCCAGGGAGGCTAATCATGGTCTCCAGGGAGTCTAACCATGGTCTCCAGGCAGCATAACCATGGCCTACAGAGAACCTGATCTTTCTAGTGTGTCTGATACGCATATACTTGTGGTATCCTGT